GAAAGAAAAATTTGAAATCACAGGAGATCGTTGCATCCAAGGGTGTAAGTGAACAGGTAAAACTCTAAGCTAAGTTTAGTAACAAAAAAAAAAACAGAGTTAGATTCAAAAGATATTCATGAAGAGAATTAAGAGTTGTTTCTATAATGGTGAAGGTATTGGCAAAGTTAGGTCCAGGAGATATGGCAGGAGAGATTGGAGTAGTGTTCAATATTCCTCAGCCTTTTACGGTTAGGACAAGGAGACTTTCACAAGTCATAAGAATCGGTCATCATCAGTTCAAGGAAATGGTTCAGTCTGATATCGATGACGCCAAAATAATCATCACCAATTTCATGAATGTAAACTCATCAAATTTATAGATATATGAATTCACATGCAAAACCTAATTACATCAACAATTAGCTAGTTCTTATGTTGTAATAATTAGTGTTTTTCTTTCTCTTTTTCAGTATCTCAAGGGATTGAATGATGAGTTGAAGAAAGAAATCCCTTTTCTTAGAGATTTATTAGCAGATACAGATGCTCAGGTAAACGTTCACTCTTACACTTTACATAGATTGAAATCTAGCTAGGACCATTATTGGTTTAAGGCCTTTTTCTGTTTATAACAAATGCATAATCCTCGCGTCACGACTATCAATTGGTTTTGAGATAAAACCGCATTATTTTGTGACAGGAAACAGTTCAGACCGAGGAACCACCACAGAATAACAATGAGGAGATAGTTACGGTCTCAAGAGATGAAAATGAAAAGAGTAAGAAGCCAATTTTACGGGTTTTTATATTATGCATGTTAGATCATCATATTGAAATGAAATTTGAATGCAGAAGAGGAGGAAAAAAGGGAGGGAGCTCCCAAAAGAGTGATAATTCATGGTCATTCTCCTAACCAAGATAACAACAATAACGGTGATGATCATTCCAATGGTAGACTTATCATTTTGCCTGATACTATCCAACTTCTATTCGACTTAGCTGGTCAGTTTCACTCTTTCACTACCTTTGTTACTTATCTTTATATTTTTGAATTCGGAGAGATTAATATAAAAACGACCGTTCGTCTATAATTTGTAATTTGACATTTGAGAAGAAAAGCAAAATACAATTATAAGTTTAGAGACTAAATGCATAAAATAATTCTTCAAAGTTATTAAATATTTTAAAACTATTTCGTATCTAAACATTTTCATATTACAGCTTCTTAGTTTAGCAATATGTAATTTTGGATTCATTGATTAAAAATGGATTTTGTGAAGATTTAAATTGCAAAACTTTATGTGGATGCAGAGAAGAAGTTTGGGAAGCGAGGAAGCACGATTGCAATGGCAGACGGTGCACATGTTGAACAACTTGATGTTCTTCGAGAAAACGACCATTTATATATTTTCTAATTCATTCCAAAAATATTTACCCATAAATATATATTTACCAAAGAGTCATTAGCTCAACCTAAATATCACTGGTTCAAATGGCATTTGAAAGAGGAACATACAAATTAAAGAATTAAAAAAGAGTATCTTACCTCCGCTCAAACCCGC